GGGACCTTCCCTCCCTGCACACCCCACCTGGAAATATAGCCCCAGCGTCCAGCGCTGACAGCACGGCCTCAGAGCCAGGAGAGGGAGGATGAAAATGCTCCTTCTTTCATTCACTTTGCTCCCTCCCTGCCAGGGAGCTCTGCTTCTCTGGCTGTCTGCCTTCCTCTGTCTCTTAGTCTCTGTGACTGTCTCCGACTATCTCTCTGTCTCTGTGCGTCTGTGTCTATCTTTCTGTGTCTCTTTGTGTCTGTGTCTCTATATCTCTGTGTCTGTCTCTTTCTGATGATCTCTCTGTTGCTGTCTCCCTGTCTCTCTCTGTCTGTTTATCCTTATCTCTGTATCCGTCTCTCTGACTATCTCTCTCTGTCTCTGTCTCCCTCTATGTCTGTGTCTCTCTCTGTCTCTCTGTTTCCCTGCCTCTGTGTCTGTTTCTCTGTCTCTCTGGGTCTCTGTGTCTGTCCTTCTGTCTCTCTCTGTCTTCCTCTGTCTCTGTCTCTGCCTCTGTCTCTGTCTCTCTGTTTCCCTTTGTCTCTTTCTTCCTCTGTCTCTGTGTCTGTCTCTGTCTCCCTCTATATCTGTGTTTGTTTCCCTGTGTCTCTGTGTCTGTCTCCCTGTGTCTCTGTCTCTCTGCACTATTTCTCTGTCTCTGTCTCTCTGAGCTGTCTCTCCCTGTCCCTGCCTTGGTCTCTCCGTCTCTTGTGCATGCACACAGAATACTCCCCCCGCCCCCTGTCACAACCGCTTCTTGGGGGCAGGCTCATCTGTGGTGCACACCTGGAGAGCAGGATTTCACGTCTCAACAGACTGGTGCAGTATGTGCATAGACAGCCGGCCCCCACGCCTGCTTCAAATTTATTCTTCAGAGAAACAGAGCAACGTGGGAGGGGCAGGGAGTGCTAAGGAAACTGCCCTCCTTCTGGGCAGACCCTGACTCTTTGTGGGTCCCCGTTCCTCTGATAGCTGCCCCCCTGCCGTGGGGCTTGCCTGAAGTGGGTACAGCAGCTGGAAGCTCCCGGAATGTGGTGTCAGGTCCCGGGATGGCAGTGGCTGCCCCCGAACATGGGCACAGGTGTGCCCCACGTCCTGTTTGCAGATGGACTTTCTGTTCCCCACTGGGGAGCAGGACAGGGTTTCCTGGCACCAGCCAACCTTGGACACAGGGGACAGACGTGTTTGCTGTTGGGACAGGGCTGAGAGCTGTCATTTCCTACTGGTGAAGCCCCTTGCCCACAAACAGTGCCTCTCTGCCTTCCGGGGGGCGTGTTGTTCCTAAATGCACCCCCATTCCATCGTGAGGGGTAGCGGTTACGGGCAGCTGAGTGGAGTCAATTCTACGAGGCTTTTGCTGCTGGGAAACATCTTTGAACAGATAACCTCTCTGGAAATGATCTGCTTTTTTCCCTCCTGTTAGATGCACTTGATTTTGTTTATCCCCAAGGGTTTTTAATTTACGTTTGTGTTTGCGACTTTTTCATCTGTGTGTATAGATGTTACTGGTGGGGTCAAGTGCTTTCCAGATTTTGTCTCCTCCCCTTCTGGTGCTGCCTTGTTGCAGATTTTTCTATTACAACAATGCAAACTTCATCAAACGAAACAACTCAGCACTTTTTTTGCCTGTGTCTGGAGTCAGTCAGTAGAGGTGCAATGGTCTGTTCTTTGAAAGTATAAAAGAATTAGCTAAAACACCATCACCACCCTCCCCTCTTTTCTGGATGCCGTTCTTTTGTAATTTTTCTATTGCTCTTGTATTCGTTGGTCTGATTACTCCTAATTTCCTTGATTAGGCTATAATAATCAGTATTTTCATGGAAAAGTATTCATTTCCCTGAAATTTTCATCTTTTTGTTACCAATTTCACATATTAATGTAGAGAGAATAAGGAACCCATAATTATAAAATCTTCCTCGTTACAAAAGACTCGTTCCTATTTGTAAATTTGCATTCTTCAGCCTTGTCAAGTGTCTTAATCACAGCCTTCTCTGAGTCCTTCTTTCTTTTCTTGTCTGTCGATCTGCCAAATGCTCAAAGATGGACCCTCACTAAGCCTCCCAAGAATTGGGATTCTCGCTGTCTCTCCCTGCGTATGCAAGAGTTCTTGAGAAATATAGCTCAGTATTGTGCTACTCTGAAGAAGATGTGGCAGGAAGTGGCACAGCATTACCATAGTGCATCGTATTGATTGAGCATTGAGTCCATACCTAATAATTCTCTGTGTCCCATTAACATTTTAATCTTGAGTTATCCCTACCTTGTAGGAATGGGGTCATTCCCCCATTGTCTTTGCTTGTTTGTTTGGTAACTTTTGGCCTTTCTATTCCTAATCCTCACTTTTCAAAACTATAATCAATATAGAAGAATTCACCACCCCCCCCCTGCAGCGGGAGGCCGCCATATTGGTTTTGAATCAGGACCAGTGGCTCAGGGCTCATGCCTCTTTCCTAGGTCTTCCATTTTGTCTATGTGGATGACTGGTATACCTCACATTTTCCAGTCATGTTTGGCAGATACAGTACTTCTTGCCCCTGAGGGGTACGTTGAAGTCTCAAAACATTTTAACTTCCATTTCTATAAATATCCAAATAAAAGTGGAGGGTATCATTGATGGCGTTCCAGGTAGAATGGAAAATGCCACCCGTGTCTCCTTCTCCCACCTCCAACCCCCAGGTGCCCTGCTGGATCAATGACCCTTGCCCCATTTCCCAATGCACATTTTGGGGCTTGGGCAGGGGAGGAAATGCAGATTTTAGGTGGATGTGCCAACTGATCCCCTAGCAAATGTGATTTCCTGTGTCTTGTCTGAACTCAGTCCTGGTGCTTCTGCTTGACAGGGGTGGTACCCCACGCTCTGCAACTTGCCTAGTATGTTCCCATTGTCAGGGATGGACCCTGTGATGAGTTCTAGTCTGCAGTGACTACTCTGTCCTCCCCGATGGTAGGGCTTGATTTACGGGCGCATATTCCCTATGCAATATCATCCACTCCGCCATGCAGTCCTTCTCCTTCCTGCCAGTGATACCTTGCAGCGGTAAGGGTTGGGGGAGCAGTTCCTGAATTAATGTAGGAAAGCAGGTGTTGATGGCAATAGCGTGCAGAAATGGAGCCAAGCCCTTCGGCTGCCTCACAAGGCAACGATCTCAAAGTGGAAAGGTGACTCTCATGTTTCTGGCTGGTTAGGAACCCTTTCCTCCAGGGAGCGAAGAAAAAGCATCTTCTGACTTTACAAAGAGGCAGTAACATTGCTCTGGTTCTGGAAGCTGAGCGTGTGTGTCTACCAACCCTGTTATCATCGGTTCTAGTTATTGGACGTAGTGAAGGCTTTCCCCCTTTTTGAAAAAAAAAATTATATTCTCATGAATATGTTAGGGGAGTATTTGAATGGTGTCTCAGGAATGCCTATCCAGATGGCACTGTGTTCTAGAACAGCGCTTCCAAACCATCTGTGGCAAAACTTGCCTTTCCCAAATCTGTCACAGATTGATACTGATGTAGATGGGGCAGACAGGAATTACTAGAAAAATAAAATTTAAAAACATGCAAAATGGGGCCTCCAATTTTGCTTTTTTTAAGTCATTGGATTCAGCAAACGTAAAATGACTGTCGATTTTTTTTTTATATTTTCTAAACACTATTCTCAATGTTGGGCTGTCTTATGGCAGACTGGTAACAAACACTTCACAGGAAGGCACCCATCTGTAGCTCTCACTTGGAGGGGCTTTGATCCAGAAGCATGCCTACCCCCACTCCCACTGCATTTCTTTATAGAAAATATTGAAAATGGGTACTTCCTCATCCTCACTGGCCATGCAACTTGGCACGTACAGGCTTTGTTCTTCACACCAAAGAAGCTGGGGACTGTAGATTATCTTAAAATGCCCCTTCCACATGAAAGCAAATACGTATGTTCCAAAACACGTCCCCTTCCAACCTAGTGCTTGTGGCTGGCTCTCCTGTGTTGTGATCATTTTTTTAGATTTATTTATTTATTTTAGGGGGGGAAGAGAGAGAGAGTGAGCAAGTAAGGGGAGGGAAAGGGAGAGAGAGAATCTCAAGCAGAGTCCCTGCTGAGCACGGAGCCCCACAGGGCTCAAGCTTACAACCCTGAGATCATGACCTGAGCCGATACCACGAATCGGATGCTTAACCAGCTGAGCCACCCAGGGGCCCCCATGCTGTGATATTTAAAACGTTTTACAAGAAGCACAAAACAACAAAACCGTGAAGACGTGTCTCCCCCCTGGGTTGTGTGGTACAGTAAGCACTGGTTCTTGGGCATGGGAGCTGTGTTCCCCTCTGTTCTGGGGTCTTGCAACCAATGTCCAAGTGAGCATGTTCCCAAGAGCTGGTCCCGGAGACCCAAAGGGATGTCACCATACAAACACCGTCATGCTGCAGGATGACCCAGGAAAGTGATGTGAGCTCCAAAGGGCTGTGTGCTTCGAGTTCCCCTCTGGAGCTCAGAATACCTTTCCAAACTCACTCGGTGGTTTTTTGATGAATGCAGTTCCTTGAGGTTATAGGTCTGAGGCTCTGACGTTCCTTCTGGCTGTTGGCCAGGGGCTGCTCTCAGCTGCCTAAAGCCACTGGAAGGATCTTGACCCATGGCCTCTCAGAACATGGCGGCTTACTTCGTTAAAGCCAGCAGGAAAACCTCTCTCCAGCAAGCCTTAGCAAGAGGGGATTTACCTAAGGAAACGCAGTCATGGGAGTGACATCCCATCATCTTTGCCATATAACGGAGCCTACTCAAAGAACTGACATTCCATGTTTTGCCTTATTCTGCTGACGAGAAGCAAGTCACAGGTCCCATCCACACTCAAGGAGAGGGGATCATCAAGGGCGTGACTCATGGAGGGTCTTCTTAGGGTGTGTTCCCTGCTTTGTACCTTCATCTTTAAAATCCAGTGTCACTCCCCAGGTGGGATGGAACTTAACTTACTGAGAAACCATCGTAGCTTCCGTGGTAGGTCGGAAGATAATCCGGTGTTTCTGTCCCTTTGCAGTGGAGTTTTTTTACTGCGATCTGGCATCTCTGCAGTCCATCCGGCAATTTGTCCAGAAGTTCAAGAAGAAGAAAATCCCTCTCCATGTCCTGGTCAATAACGGTGAGTCCTGGGGAAATCCAGACATTAACGCTGATGCAGACATGCATGCTAGCTGTCCTGGCAGACAAGTCCTTTCCTTTTTTGGGAAAGCAGGATTTCCATGGATATTCATGGGTATATGTTCTGTGGTCACCGCAGCTTTACTTCATTGATGCATTCGGCTTTTGTCATTGGCATAATCAATTTGAAATGATGGTAAGCCTGATAATACATTGTATGGAGTCAATATTTTCGCTGGCCCATGTGAGCTAATAAGTAAGGTGTGTTATGAATGTGTAAGGGCTGGGCATTTTCACTAATGTTACCGTATTAAATCCTCAGCACATCCCCATGGGGGTCATCAGTATGTGGGCTCCATGCCTGACTGTCTCTTGACTTCTTCCCTGTGGCCAACATTCCTCAAATGGACATGTGGAGTCCACATCTCCCCTTCCCCTGCCTTCACCCTGCCCACCTGTCCATCTTCAACACCAACCAACCTTGACCCTGACCCCTTCTTTCAGCCATGCTCAGCTCTTAAGGGCATCATGGACACATCTTGGTGCCTGAGACATTCCTCTCTTCCCTTGCTGCACTCAAGAGATGTCATAGAAGTTCATCCAAACCCTCCACAGTGAGGAGGCAGTGCCATTAACATGACCAAACTGAATCCATGTAGAACACCAAAACTATCGGAAGCATGGTGGGAAAACACCTGTGTCCATGGAATGTCACACATCGCTTTCAGACTTGGAGACCAGCTGGTCCTGTGTAGGGGAGATAAATGGTAATATTAACAGGGTGAAAGGAACAGCCATCAGTCAAACATGACACCTTCTTTCCAAAATATATAAAACATTTGCTAAATCATTCATCTGTTGGATGGTAGGGAGAACATTGCCATGGGACCCCTCTGCTTCCACTGAGCCCACTTGAATAATCCAGGCGAATTTCCGCAGCTAAAGAGACTTAATTGACTCTCTTCTCCAAAGCCCTTTTGCCATGGAAGGTACCATAGTAAGAAATTACAAGAATGATAATATGGACATAATCTGCAGGGAAGAGGGAGCATAAGTCTACATACTAAGGCTGCACCACATTCGTCCATCTGATTCTGGCTTCCAGGATTCGATTGCTGTCCCTTTGTCTTCTTTCTCTTTGTCTTAATGTGTTTTAACATTTTCTGTCATATCAGTGGGGTTGGTGGACAGGAAGGGGATGCAGATAGACTTCTGCCCAATGCACCTGTTTGACTGGAAATTTCTCAGGGAAGGGAAAGAGGTAGCATATACGACTTGGAGGGTCTGACTCCAGTGATCTATTTACGCATATGGATGTGTGCACATATACCTATGATGTTTGGGTGCCGAACAAAGTTATAACTAACACCACTTCCACCTACTTAGCCTAAAAACAAACAGTGCATGTGTGTTATTAGTGCTGGTGACGCTGGTCCGAAGGCTCAGAATGATTTCAATTTCACTTTCTTCACGGACCTTTGATATTTTTCAAGGTTTCCTGAAATGGGCGCACCTTAAATTTATTTGCAGAAATCAATTATTTGGGATTCCTCTGTCTTGGCGTTAGTGGGGGCTTCCTTGGTCAGGGCATTTATCAGTATTATAAGCGTTGAGAATTAGAATATTATGAATCGCCCAATGTAGACACAAGCTGGTGGGACTATGGGGGATCCAGTCCAAGTAGACATCTTATTTCCTTGATCTACGTAACACCCTCAATAATTAGCGACCAGAGCACTTCATCGTGGAGCAATTTGTCAACAGCAGGACGAAAGCGCTGTGTTGCGCTTATCCAGAATTTGTGAGATATGACAGACACGTACACAACAGGACTCTGTTATATCCATCAATGGGTGCGCCATGATTCACTCTTTGCCCTTCGCTTTCAAGATGACCCCGGTGGTCCTACCATGGCCCCTGTTCTTCTTCTCTGCAGATGGTAAACCAAGCATGCCTAGCTTGTCTAACATTTCTCTAGAGACTGGGACACAGTTTGAATGTGGACCAAGGGAGGCTGGACCCTCTGTACGCTGCATCCATTTTCCCTCTGTAGGGAATCCTGTCCCCACGTTGGCTTCACTGCAGCCAGACTTTCATCCACACACACCTTCCTCTGTGCTCAGGACCTACCATTGCTGCTCCCTGCCCCAGACACATGGAGACACAACACGCTCAGTGTGGAATCCCTGAACCCCAAATGGCACGGACTCTAAGGGAGGATCCCTTGATTTTCCTTGAAATTTCCTCGATTTTCCTTGAAATTTCCTTGATTTCTCTTGAAGTGACTGGACTTTTCCAGCTTCTAGAGGCTGTCAGCCTTCCTTGGCCTCATGGCTGCTTCCCTCCCACATCTTCGAAGCCAGTGAGGTGGCGTCTGCAGCCCCCACTCTGTCTCTCTGTGATGTTTGCTTCTGTCCACACATCACCTTCTCGGACTCTGAGCCTCCCGTCTCCCTCTTGTGAGGGTACTTGTGGTGATCTTGGACCACTGGGGTCTTCCAGGACCATCCCCATCACAGGGTCCCTAACCCAATCCAATCGGCAAAGTCCCTTTATCCATGTTAGGGCACGTATTCACAGGCTCTAGAGACCAGGATGTGGACATCTTTGGGGACATTATTCTGTCCACCATACTGGGATTGGAATGTGGATGTATTTGGGGATGCCGTCCACCACACATGAACCAGGACACGGATGTCTGTGGGGATGTTATTCTGTCTCCCCCATAGGGATCGAGACATGGACATTGGTGGGGACATTATTCTGTCCACTATATGGGGATCAGGATGTGGATATCTGTGGGGACATTACTCTGTCTCCCACTCGGGGATTAAGACATCGACATTGGTGGGGACATTATTCTGTTCACTATATGGGGATCAGGATGTGGGTGTCTGTGGGGACATTATTCTGTCTCTCACACAGGGATTCAAGATGTGGACGTCTTTGGGGGGGTGGTCATCATTCAGCCCACCACACCCACTTTATGTGAGCTCAGTATTTCAGAGGCAGGAACAATACAGTGATAAACAAGCACCCTTGCCCTCATGGAAATCGTTCTCTAGCAAAGGAGATACTCAACAAGTAATTATTCTGTGACATGCCTCACCCTAGAAAATGCCAACCGCAATATGACAACACGGTCATATATATGAAAGAAAAGACTGCATCTCAAACATGATCTGTCTGGAAAGCCCCAGGCTTCTGAAGTGGCATCCCACGGAACCCAGGATAGGAGGAAGGCCACAGGGACAAATGGCCCTGGGGCCAGTGGGGTGACTGGGACTGTGCGGTCAAGATTGCAGATGGATTCACCTCCAGCCCAGTGTGCTCAGACTTAACCTTGATTTACATTCTCATGTGTCTCTCACCTTGGTTTGTGTATGAGCATTCATCCTAGCTGTGTGCAATGAGAATTCTGGGTCAAGATTCTTTTGGAGATATTTGGGAGGAGTCAGCAGATGCAAACAGGTTTTCCAACCACAGCACTTCTCAGAAGAGGACCCTGGCCATGGCATGGTTAGTGTTCAAGAGGGTCTGCAGAATTTCCCAAAACTATTTGCCTGAAACCCTCTTCTGTGATGTTATCTCCTCCCACCAGGGCACCTGGTTAAAAGGATGTGGGTTCACGGGACCCACTTCCGTGAGCCAACCACATGTGTCCCATCTCCTGGAAAACAGCCCCGACTGCACTCCACAAAGGCCACTCCCAGGGGCCAAAGGGAACTAGAATTTGTGCTTTTATTTTTTCTCTCTCTCTTATTTTTTATTCTTGAGATAGGAGTGATCAGGGCCCCTGGGTGGCTCAGTCAGTTAAGCATCTGCCTTCAGCTCAGGTCATGATCCCAGGGTCCTGGGATCAAGTCCTGCAACAGGCTCCATGCTCAGCGGGGAGCCTGCTTCTCCCTCTCCCTCTGCTGCTCCCCCGGCTTGTGCTCTCTCGCTCTCTCTGTCAAATAAATAAAATCTTTTTTTTTTTTTTTTTAAAGATAAGAGTGATCAAGATGTTGTAAATGTTAAGTACTTCAGAAGGGAAATGGTGTTTGCATTTGCTAGTGTGATGAAAATAGAACCAGACTGCCTCTTTCTGGAAGCTCAGGATCCAAGCTGAGGATTTATCCAACACAAGAAGAATCAATAGTATATCTCCTGCAGAGCAAGTGCAGTATTTATAGTTTATTCACATCAAAATTTTATTTATCCAGTCTCTCATCCCCACACCTGATCACAGATAGTTTTGAAATAACTGCACGGAATTGATGTTTTATCCTTGTAGGACTTCTTCCCATACCTCTAATGGATGAATTTCCTAACGTCAAGAATTACTAAAAATAAATATGGCAGTGGTAACCCTTGAGAAATAAAATAACCCTGAGAAGTAAACGATTCTCGCCTGGCCAGGTACATACTGATGGAATTTGCATCCACAGAAGACCGCAGAGCCTTTGAGCGAGGAGTAACATGGTACCTGTTTCTTGGCGGGCAGATGCCTGAGCAGTTTTCCTATTTAGGCACTTGGCGTCCCCTATGCAAAACAGGCTCTGCCATCATCTGGTCTCCCTTCCAGGAACACGGAAGCTAGTGAATCACCACCACACATGCATGCATCAATGGATTATCAGATCCGAATGTGTGTAGACCACTTCTCATCGATGCCTTCTGTTTGTTTTCCAGTGTGTCTCCCTCCCCGTTTCTGCTGTGTGATGGGTTTTCCTAGAACAGAAGGCAGTTGGATGTTCTTCTGGTGGTGGGCGTTTGCAGTGCCATTTGACATGATTTACCATGATGCCAGAACAGTAGGCTGGAGGCTGTGGGTGTGCATTGCATCTCCTGCATTGAACACCTTTGTTCTTCCAAATGCCCTTCATGAGCTTCTAGGAAGTGGGCTGAGAAATACAGTGGTTTTCCAATTATCCAGATGCCCCGGAAGCATGTCACCCAGAAGCTCTTCCAAGAGTTGTGTGTTGTAAAGCACCTGGTCTCAGGTGTCCTCGATGATGC